TTACGTTAGACACAATGTTATAAATGCATATGTGTGTATGTGTGAGTTTATTTATTTATTGTATCATTAAAGTGTAGTGCATATTAATATACAAGCGATAGAGTAGGTAATTGATTTGACGCTATATTATTTAAACCCAACTAAACGCTAAGTTGTACATTCCCAAACAACAATCATATTATGTCAATTGCCACCGGAATTTCTAGTAATATTTTTATTTTTCTGTGCCTTAATCCCAACTACTTGGGGTCGGCCACCCTTATCCTAAGCTTCCACTTGACACGATCTCCCACATCTTCTACGCTCACATCAGCTGTCCTCAAATCGCATTCAATAGCATCCCTCCATCTCTTTTTTGGTCTTCCTCTATCTCTTCTTCCTTCAACATTCATTTCTATAACTGTTCTTACAGCTTTCGATTCTTCTTTCCTCATACCATGACTAAACAATCTAAGTCTATTTTCTGTCATCTTATCCACGATTGACGCAACACCTATACTTCCTCTTATATGCTCGTTCCTTATCCTATCTTCTCTAGTCACTCCACTCATCCAACTAAGCATTCTCATCTCTGCTACACTTATTCTCTGCTCTACTTTCTTATCAACCGCCCAACACTATGAACCATACATCATAGCTGGCCTCACAATTTCATACTAAATTTAAAAACTATAATTAGTATTTATTCATATATTATATTTTAAAATCAAAGAACTACTAATCAGGATATAATTAAAGAAATAAGAGTTCATGTTGCTTTTAAAATATTTCACCAATTTCTCTAAAGGAAACACTATCTACAGATTTGCATCGAAGCGTTTCTTATGATAGTGATTTTAATCACTGTCAGATATCATCTATACTTGTCCCATCTATGCCTCGTCCACACTGTGCCTCGACCCCACTGTGCTACCGTTTTTTTTTTTTAAATACACCTTTATTCTTTAAATATCTTTAATAAGAGAATGTAACTGCAAAAATTGTTTAATGTGCCCGACTAATTTTAGTATTTTGGGAGATTTAATAATAAATTAATTCTGAAACTTTTTTTTCTTTAAAGAATTTTAAAAGTTTTTTATACATAATATATACTTTTTAAGATATAAGAAAACATTTTTAATTTTATTAGATAAAAAATATTTCATATGAATAAATCATAAAAATACACAGAAGAAAAGTGATGTATTTTCATTTAGTCTTCATATTAGACTTTTCTTATTTATATTAAATTTTTATCCGTGATGTTTATATTTCTTAATTAATTATCCTCATTTAAATAATGTATCATTATGCTTATTATTAAGTGTATTTTATGTGTTGTACACAAAATTACTTTTTTTTTAAGGCAAGTTCATAAATCAGAATTGGGTACACTTTTAACTGGTGAGTCAGTATATGATTGGAGTTGCACTAATCAAGATCTTAACCAGCGCTCGAGTATAAAAATTAGAAACTCGTCAGTTTGTCCAGATCGTTGTTCTGCTCACAAAAGCTGTGAAACTTGTTTAGCTTCTCAAGTAATATAAAATTATTTTTAATTAGATAAATAAATGTTTAATATATTATGTTGTAGGGTGGTGAAGGAGGCTGGCATGAGTGTCATTGGTCAATAACACTAAATGAATGTATATCTCCAAGTTATCAACCATTATATTGTGCTGGAGGAGTTTGTGGACTTGTCTTAAGTGGTGGCAATGTTGAACGTTGCCCTCAACCTTGTTCCAGCTATAATCAGTGTTCAACTTGTTTACATCATACACACTGTGGTTGGTGTGCATTTAGCTTACCCAATAAAACTGGTCAGGTTAGTCATATATTAAGTAAATTTTTATAAATTTTATACATTTGAACTTTAATGTTCTAATCCAAAATATTTTTAGAAATTTATTAAAAATAAAAAGAACAATTAATCATGGCCTTAATCAATGGTATATGATGAAATTTGTTCTAATAATATAAATACTATCATTAAAATGTTCAGAAATTCTTTCTTTACAAACTATTTTAAATTTGATCTGCAAGGTGGACATAAGTCACTCCTATTGTTTATTACATTTATGAATGCCCTAGACTTTGTTTATTTTTTGTGGAATTTGTTGAATTGTTTATATAAATTAAAACTATTAATTATTGTTTTATGTCTAAGAAGGCTTGCATAGATTTGTAGGTGGATTAATTATAATCTACAATTAAATATAGCTAAATTTTTTCACATTATATTTTATCATAAATGTGATTACAGAAATTTTGTTTACAAAAAATATGGCAATGATTTAAATAAATCTATTGTTTATTAAAAGATTAGACATACTACTTTTATCAGATTTGTCATTTAATTTTTTTTTTTTTTGTCTACTAGACATTATTATTATTATTAAATATATAATTTATCTTATATATTATTATTCAGGGAATTTGTACTGAAGGTTATATGTCTAGTCCAGCTTCTGGACCTAATCATTCCTGTCAAGAGTTATTCAATCAAATGAATACTGAACCTATTATGTTACGTTATAAAAGTTCAGAATCTGAAGAACTTGATTTTTCCAAAGAAAATCATGAAGATTCAACATCCACTGATGTAGTTTTATTAAACTCAGATCTAAATTTCAATCATTCTATAGCGTGGTACTATATATCTTGCCCCCCCGAAAATGAATGTGAAAATGGTCACCATAGTTGTGATGAAGAAAGTGAAGAATGTGTTGATATAGCTGAGGGATTCCATTGTGTTTGTGGTAAAGGTTATGAGCCTAATATGAATTCACTATGTATACCTATATGCTCTCAAGGTAATAATGTCAACTATTTATTATGAAACTATTTCTATGATATTATTGTTTATATTCTATGCATAATATCTTCATTTTTATAAATTAATATTTAATTTGAATAGGTTGTGTGCGAGGTGAATGTATCAAACCAGATGTTTGTCAATGTGGTTTTGGATATGTTGGTTCTAATTGTACTATTCAGTGTGAATGTAATGGACATTCTAACTGTGCTGGTCCTGATAAACTTACTGAATGTTTAAGTTGCCAAAATAATACTCAAGGTCCTCAATGTCAGCGTTGTAAACCATTATTTGTAGGAAATCCAGTTGATCATGGCCATTGTATACCTTGTTCAGAATACTGTAATGGACATGCTCATATATGTGTAGATAAAAATGAATCTGAATCAATCGATTCATTTAACTATCTTAATGACCCAAGTAATAACTTGCTTCAAAATGATGGACCACTATCTGATGCCTATTGTATCAACTGTATGGATAATACAACTGGATCAACTTGTTCAGGTTGTTTACCTGGTCATTTTAGAGGGTCTTCAGATGATCGAGATCCTTGTAGGTTAGTAAAACTAATAATAATTTTTTTATTATTTTAATTTTTATAACTGAATTTATTTAAATAATGAATATACAATATATGTATTTCTATTATTTTTAATGTATTTACTTATATAATAGAAATTGATCACTTGTGGCTAATATTATTTAAAATTAAAAAATATTAAAAGTATTTAACTCAAAAAGCCATAAAAAAATTACTAAAAAAATCGCAAATAATTATTTCTGGAACCATTTTACCATTATTAATGGATCATTCCATGTGAAATCACCTAATGTGTGTGCTGGTATAGTTCAGAAATTTATGAAATTTATATTATAGACTACTTAAAGGTCATTGACAACAAAAATAATATTTTTTTTTTTTTTTACCAGATAGCGCATTTTTTATAATTAAAAACATGAAAAAATAGCCTATGTTCTAGAGCCTATAACTTCACATCCAAATAAGCTATCACTGTGGAACTATCACTGTTTTACTCATATTAAATAGTACTTCAATTTCATTCTTAAGTTTATAAATTTTGAATTTTTTTGAACATCGAAATTTTGATTTAAATTTTTTAAATGTTGCAGTATTTTAATAGTGAAATTTGAAGGTCAAAAAATTTTTTAATTAAAATTTTTTTTTTTTCCTTTCAGAAACTTTAATATCATACCCATATCATGTTTGAATCGATTTATAATTTTTTTTGTACCGTTTTACGGTCTTGAACATGCATGGTTTGCTGAAAATAGCCAACTTTATCATCTCATTACACAAAAGTGACTGAACGAATTTTTTCAAATTTACATAGTACTTTCCTTTAGGCAATTAAAACGTTTGGTGAAAATTTTATGATGGAGAAATAATTTTAACGCTACTTATAGAATTTACAAAATTTACAATTTGCGTATTATGGAAAATCCACAAACTACGTAATTTTCAACACTTAATTTTTATTTCTTGTATTTATTCTGCGTTCTGTAGTAGATTAAGTTATTGGGACTCATAAAAAAATCCTAGGAGTAATGACTAAGTTCGGAAAAGCTACATTACTTTTCTTCATCAAGTTAATTACATCAAAAGATAATGTTAATTCTTCGACTAATATGCTGTAGTATACAAATACTTTATACCAAATATATAAACTCATAAGGATTTCTATTGTACTAATCTCCGAATTTAATGAATTATTGTGATTTTTAATTAGCGGATCATGTGTAGTATATATGTCATAAAAATATTATTTTTGTTGTCAATGACCTTTAAGTAGTCTATGATATAAATTTTATAAATTTCTGAACTATACCAGCACACACATTAGGTGATTTCACATGGAATGACCCTAATGCTAAACACATATTCCAGTATGTGTTATACTATAGAAAAGTAATATTTTTAATATAGTTTTAGTTTTAAATAATGCATATACTGTTAAAAATTTCAGGCTTTGTGAATGTCACGGACATGGACATACTTGTGATCCAGTTACTGGTGAAAAATGTGATTGTCAAAATAATACTGAAAGTGATACTAACTGTCAATCTGGAGGAGTTGCTAATCATCGAACATCTAAAAATAATGTGCAGTTATGTTGGATGCATCAATGTTCAAAGTGTAAGGACTCATACATGGGAACACCAACAGATGGTCATCAATGCTATAAACAAATGAGTGTTGACTCAAGGTTTTGTCTTGATGCAAAATTGCTTGAAGAATGTAAAATGAAGCCTAATCCACTTTATCCTGGACAAACGGTATAAAATAAAAATAAATAGATAATTGAATAATTTTATAATAAATTAAAATTTTTATTTTAGTCATTCTTTGTTGTTCAACCACGGTTTATGAATGTTGACATAAGAATAACTGTTGATATAACCCAAGGTGCAGTTGACTTTTTCTTAACATCACATGAAGACATATTTATAGTTACCAAAAATGCAACTTTACATAAAGATGTTTTTGACTTTGATCCAAGGTAATGTTAATTATTATAGATTAATTATTTATTTATTATAAGGACTTGAAATTATATGTAAAAACGAAATACTTCTCATTTTATGACGGATAAAATCCCAATTTCCCTCTAAAAATGTAACCTTGGTAACAACTAATTACTCAGATTTCAAACAAATTAATTAAAATCTTACTGGATGACAGTATGTTTAGACTCTGAACTTTAGAATAACAAAATTTATATATCCATATATTTCCTAGCCCCATTACTATTATTTTAAGTATAGTTAAAATTATGATCTGGATAGTAGCGAAGCTAAATTAAATTTTTATAGAGATTAAAAAGTTATAATGACCTTTTCTCTGTGGATAGGGGCTAAGAATACTTCCACAGCCCCTCTGCCAGTCGTAAGAGGCGACTAATGAGGTTGCGTCAGGTCGATAGCCGACGTAAAATTTTTGTTAAATAGTATAAGGTGTCCTGAACAAAACTTACGCGAATTGTCTCATCTCGGGTGTACGCGGGGACAACAGAAAGTAGTTAAAAACGGAGAAGGCCTACGGAATAAAGTGTTTGATACCAGCCGGACTACTTGTGCGGTAGCTGTTTCACCAGTCATGTGTACAGGTCTTATAGTGTCAACGGTGTATCACGAGACATCACCACTTAACTCTAGGCTGGACTTGTGTATGAGGGAGGAAAAAAAGGTAGATACAAAGTAAGAATAGGTACTTGAAATGTTGGAACATTAACTGGTAGAAGTAGAGAATTAATAGAAGTATTAAAGAAGAGAAAAGTTAACATTTGTTGTGTGCAGGAAACTAAGTGGAAAGGAGAGAAATCAAGGGAATAGGTGAGGGTTATAAAATAATATACTCAGGGAAGTATAGTACAAAGAATGGTGTAGGGATAATAATAGATGAGGAAATGAAAAGTAAAGTAGTAGAAGTAGCGAGGAAAAGTGACAGGATTGTAGTCGTGAAATTGATATTCGAGAAAAAAGTGCAGAATGTAATAAGTGTCTATGCACCACAAGTAGGATGTGATGAAATAGACAAAGAAGTGTTTTGGAGAGTGATGGATGAGATGATGTAAGGAATACCTGGTAATAAAGATGTAGTGATAGGTTGAGATATGAATGGACATGAGAGTAAGTTAATACTTATTTTAGAAAAAGGGAAGAATATTATATAACCTATAAGAGTGAGAGGAATAGATCACAGGTTGATTATTTTATGTGGAAGAGAGAGAGAGCGTAAAGTGAGTAAAGGATTGTAAAGTTATACTAGGCGAGAGTGTAACTACACAGCATAGACTGATGGTAATGGAGTTTTGGTGTACCGGGAAAAGAATATACAAAAACAGAAGGAACACAAAAGAAAAATTGAAAATCCGTTGGTGGAAATTAAAAGGGGAAAATGAAAAAGAGTTTGTCAAGACGGTAAAAAAGAGGACAGTGTGGAATGTCGAAGGAAACATAAATGATGTGTAGAATAGATTTGCTAGTTGTGTAAAGAATACTGCAAAGAAGATTGTTGGTAAGAGTAGGAGTAGAATGCCAGGAAACCTGAAGGTGGGATGAGGACGTTCAAAAAATCATAGAAAGTAAGAAAAAACAATTCAAAGTATGGCAGAAGAGCAAAAGGAGAGAAGGTTGGATGAAGTATAAACGCTTGTGCAAAGAAGCTAAGTATGCAGTAAGTAAGGCGAAGTTTAAGAGGTATGATGAATTGTATGATAGGCTAGGAATACAGGAAGGCGAGAAAGAAATCTATAGACTTGCAAAGATAAGAGAGAAAAGGACTAAAGATTATCATTATATAAGGTGTATAAAAAGTGTTAATAATAAAGTACTCTCGAGTGATGATGATGTGAAAAAAAGGCGGAAAGAGTATTTTGAAAAATTGCGGAATTAGAAGTATCCAAAAGAGACGTTAGAGGATATCTTGTGGAATGAGGGACTGGTAGATTTAATTAGTGAGAAAAATGTATCGGTGGCTGTGGCATCAATGAAAAAGAATAAAGCAGTGGGACCAAATGAAGTGCCAAAAAAGAGATGGAGATATGTTATTGAATGCGATATGAGTACAGCTGATGTGAGTGTAAAGAATGTGGGAGATCGTGTCAAGTGGAAGTTTAGGATAAGGGTGACCGACCCCATGTAGTTGGGATTAAAGCGAGGAAGAAGAAGAAGATTAAAAAGTTATAATTAGCCTCCTAAAAATTATAAAGTTAAATACATTTATTTGTCGAACACTAACATAGTTATTAAAAAAAGTAAAATGTAAGTCTAAAAAATTTTTATAGTAGAATTTTGTCAATTTAATACTTTCTTTTAGAAAATAGGCAGTGTTAAGAGTACATTATTAATCCTCAGTGTTAAACAATAATTCTGTTTACAAAATTTGTAATCAGTTATAAAATGAGTATGTTATCTATATTTATCTTAATAAACAAAATTCAACACTCCCACAATTATAGACAAAGAAAAGTAAAGAGAATAAAAATATTTTTTAGCTTTGATGTGTAGCTTAGAAGGTATTAATTTTTCCATAATGTGTTTTTTCTTTTTTTTTATGTGTCTGTTACCACTTTTTCTCAGCTCTCACCTATCCGATTTCTTTGAACGATACGTCAAAAGATCACAAATCGTTTTTATAAATCTGACCCTTAACCTGCCCACAAGAGGGGATTCAAAATGACAACTTTTTCACAAAAATTAACTTTTTTAACTTAATTTTTGAATGTGTTCCTGAAACTCTGACACTTTTATATATATCTTAAATTAAAACTAATGTAATATTCTTTAAAATGAAAAAAAAAATTTCGGACTTTATTTTGTCTTCATGGTAAAAGTGGCTACTGAATGCTATTTTTGTGTGAAAATTCTCGATTTTGTATTTACCATTTTTAACTTTATTATAACTTGTTGAAAAATGTATGGATCAATACAATTTTTTCATGAGAAGTAGTATTTATATATATCTTTCATTCGACATACTTCATCTTAATCAGAATACAAATAAGGAAATTGCAGATCATGAAGCTTTTGTAATAATCTACCAATTTTAAAATTAAATGTTATCTACAGATTTGCATCGAAGCGTTTTTTATGATAGTGATTTTAATCACTGTCAGATATCATTATACTTGATCCAACTATGCCACGTCACCAATGTGCCGCGACCCCTCTGTGCTGGGTTTTTTATATTGAAACCTTAGATATTTCCTATTCATTTGAAATCATTTTTTTGAAAATCTAACACTGAACCAGTACACAGGGGGAGATTTAAAATAGCATCTTTTTTACAAAACTCATCTTTTTCAAATTAACTTTTGCAAATGTTCTGGAATTACTGAGTCTTTTAAACATATGTCAAATTAGAGCTTACAATAAGTATTATAAGTTCAAAAAAAACAATTTGTCCTGACACCTTTTTTTTTTGGGAAAATGGCTGTTGAATTTAAGGAAAAATGTAATTTTTATGTTAAAATCACTGTTTAACATGAAATATTTTTAACTTAAAACTCCCAAAACTTTTTGAAAGATTAAAAATATTTCTTTTTTATATTGTTACCTTAGATATTTTTCTTTAATTTGTTATAAATGTTTTGAAAATCTGACCCTAAACCTGACCACAGGAGGGATTTTAAAAAAAACAATTTTAGCACATAAGTTAAGCTTTTTCAGTTTAATTTTTGAACATTTTCCGAAAATATTGACACTTTTTTATAATCTTAAATTAAAACTTATATTACATATTTTACTATGAAAAAACAAAATTCTAAATATAGATTTTCTTTTTGGTGAAAATAGCTATCGTATTCAAAAATGTGCTATTTTTGTGTTAAAATTCTGGGTTTTATATTTTACAATATCTTACAAGGGGAATACATTGATTTTTATGAATATTATATAATTAAATTGACATAGAATAAAGTTCATAAGATATAATAAGTTAAACTTTGTTAAAGTCGAAAAAATAAATTTAAAATTTGAATCAGCTTAAATTATCAATTTTTTCATCCATTGAAAGCAACGGACGGTTGCCGAATCGGTAACACCTGTCTGTCACGCATAGGGTACTAGCTTGGAGGCAACTTATATTATGCATTTTTTTTTTTTTTATTTAGGCAAAAATTTTGAAATTATTTAATTTTTATTTTGTTTAGATTCAATAACACCAATAAATATCATGGTTCCTACCATTGTAGTCTCCCTTTGCAAGAAGAAATTTCTTATTCATGTTAATATTATTTTACTATGTGGTTTTTTTTGTGGCTTTATTTTCCCAACCCTTACTTGACTTACTTTTTTCAAGGATACGTCAAATGATTACAATTCGTATTTAGTTGAATTACCTTCAAAAATTGAAAAAATTCCCCTTTATCAAATAAAAAGTAGCTTAACTAGCTTTCTTCATACAAACAATTAAAATCATTAATTTCTAATATTTTTAAAGTATTTATTGTCAAATTAGATTTGATATGATAAAAATATTCAACTACAAAAGTAAATTATTTTACTATGTAATTTATTAATTTTTGAACTCTATTTTTGTGTGCTACTATCAGTCTATAACATTCCAAATTTTTTTTAGCATGTTGTTATATAAATTATAAATCTAAAAAAAAAGATTTTTAGCTTGATCCTAATTTAACATTGGATTTTTACAATTATAATCAAATTTTATAATACGCCTCAATTGAGTAAATCATTTTAACAACTTTTTTTTGATTGGTTCTTATAGTTTAAGTAAATCATTAAAATTAATTAAATTCTGAATAATTCAATAGTAGAATCTTTTTAAACACCAAAAGTTAATTAGAAATGATTACTATGATTTTAATTTAAGTGATCTATTACGATAAAAATGTAAAAAAAATCGAACTTTTCTGATAAATTTACTGTAAATAGTAATTATAAAATTTCCTGACTGCATATTAATCTTAACAATATCATTTTTTTCTATTTAATGATGTCAATTTTTAACTTGCAAGTTGAGCTTAATATTATGATGATAAATACATTTTTTTTTTTTATATATATAAATTTATTAGTTTATATATATAAACTTTCACTTCAAAGGACAAAAAAAAGTAGGCTTAAAATTTTTACTTTTAACACATTAAATTCAAAATCAATTAAAATTTGAAAATAATTCATTATAAAAATTATATATTATTTTTTTGAATTTAAGAATTACTAATCTGGATATAATTAAGGAAATAGAAATTGATGTTGTTTTTATAATTATCCACCAATTTCTTATAATTAAAAACTGTGTAGAGAGATTTTCATCGAAGAGTTTCTTATGATAGTAAAATCATTATCAGATATAATCACTGTCAGATTGCATCTATTGTTTACCAAACTATGCCACTGTGCTGGGGTTTTTTTTTTATTGTAGAAAAAGATACAATGTATAAAATATACAATAAGTACTTATGATAAAAAATATTATATAAAATTAATTTTGAAAAAAAACAATAATTTGTGGAGAGGGGCCCAGTGGTGAAACTAACTATAGTAAATAATAAAAATAAAAAATAATTTTGAATATTGTTTTTCTTTTTAACTATCATGTGTAGCTAAAAATTATTACATTTATCCTACCATGTTTATTTTTTGTGTCAATAGATACAAATACTGTTCCTACTGGAAAGATTTCATTTAAAAATATGTCAACAGATTACAAAAAATAACTAGCCAAAGCTATCAGTGTCATAATTTTAATAAATTATTCTCAATCTCCTTTGTAATAAAGAGAAATTTCAAAAAAAAATAATTGTTATAAAATAATCAATGTTGATATTTTTAGTTTTCAATTTATACTAAATTATCTTTGATAATATTGTTAGTTTTTCGTAGAATTTAAAGTGAACTGTAAATTGCTTTAAAATACTTTTTAAAAAATTTTATATTACTTTTATTTTTCTGTTGTACAATTCTTATATATTAATTTACACATTTTCAATATCTTAATTTGTACAGCAATACATAATAAGACTGATTTTTGTACAAATTAAAATATCTATGCCTTTGCTTATAATTAATCTTAAATAATAATTTTAGGTTTGAATGGTTCAGTGAAATGGAAACATTAGAAAAAATAAATACAGGAGTGCATAATTCAACAAAAAATTCAAAACATATTTTTACATACCAAGAACATAAAACTAAAGGCTTGTCCACCTATGTAACCATGAAAAAAAGTATTTCTTTATTGATTGTAAAAAATGTTAACAACAGGTAAATATTAAATTTAATAATTAATTTTTATACAGATTAATTTTTAATTTTTTCTTAGGTTGATTATCACACTTCCACATGACAAGCATGATTTATCAGCAACAAGATATTATATGGCTTTGTTAGCTATTTCTTCTCTTCCAGTTCAAGCAACACATATTGTGCCAGTTCCAACATATGGAACAGTATTTTTTAGACAGGATCAGCTACATATTGATCTCTTTGTATTTTTTTCGGTATTTTTTTCATGTTTCTTTTTGTTTCTTGCTGTATGTGTTGTGGGATGGAAAGCTAAACAAGTATTTTTTTTATATAAATGTAACAAATATAATTGTTTAATATATTATTTTTACTTTTTTAGGCGGCCGATATGCGTCGTGCTCGTAGGCAACAAGTTGTAGAAATGCTTCATATGGCTAAAAGACCGTTTGCATTTGTAGCTATTATTTTAAATACATCTCAACAGCCAGAATCCAGCCAATATACTAGATTATGTGATATTAGACCTTTAGCTATAGAGCCCACAAGTGATACCAATGCTGCTGTTACAACATTACTCATTAAGTTACCTGATCGAGGGAATTCAACTGGCACAAGATTAGCACTTGGTTCTACCCTTGTTCTCAACATGATTAATCCTAGAGGAGGCTATTCAACAAGTGCACATCGACTTCATATAAGTGGTCCTAGACATAGAAGAAATGTACTCCAGTGATTAATCATCTCTTAGATATGATCAAAATTAACAGTATTATTAACTTTAAAAAAAAATTTTATATTTAATTTATAAGTAAGTTAACATAATGACCAAATATATTTCTACTTGTACATCTCTTATTAACTTTTCAAACATTTATTAGTCATATACTTATTGGCTCATAAAATTAAACAAATATTTTACCGTATTACTAGTTAGAATGTTCTGTTTTTCGTGTTCTATCTTCAGTGTACTTATTATGTATAATAATTTATTACTTTGTATCACATACTACTTTAAAGTATTGTTTGATACTTAATAATTAGTTTTTTATTATAATTAGTAATTAATTATAATTTACAGTATTTAATGTTTTCCTAAATTTTATTACTAAAAATTAACTGAATAATATATAGTTTATATGGTTTACTTGAAAGTATTAAACATAATTTCAATATTAATTGTGATCTCTTTATGTTAAAGAAGTTAAAATTTTATATAACTTAATTTTTTTATAATTGAAAAATGTTAATAGTGTAGCCTTATAATCTCAAAGTTTATTAATTTATTTTGTTTTGTAAATTTTCAATTTTTTACCAAATTATAGTTTAAATTGAAAAATATTAAGATATTGTATAAATTACATTAAAAATTACTATTAATCTTAAATTTTTCATTTGCACATAATGAATGACACATTAATAACTTAAGTTTATGTGTTTTGTATAATTTTCCTATAAATATAGAGCTAATATATATTTATATTGCTTTTAATCTTCATTAAATCTAGTAAATTAACAATAATTTGTTTACATGTATATATTATATTAAACCTGTATTATAAGTGTAAAGTAGTGTATTTATTAATAATAGTATCCAACTAGTATATCTTAAATTGAGTTAGGTGCTAATGATTAAAGTTTATTTAATAAGGTCATTAAGTGTTAGTTTTTAAATATCATATGTACATAGTATTACTAATATTCTTTGTATACTCCAATTTAAGTACAAACAAAAATTTCTAAGGTTGAACGTAATGATATTCTAAGCTTTCTAATTTTACTATGAAGCTTAGGACTGAATAAATTATTGAAAGATTTGTAAATAAAATGTATCAACTAAAAACTATAAAATTTATTAGCTTATTAGATAAATAGTTTTCCATTTCTTTTAATTTTATACAAAAATATGTACTTAAAATACTGAATAACTTAATTTTAATTAATTTTAAATTATTCTTTATCTTTCTTTGAATAATCCTTATAAAAAAAATTCTTTAATTCTATTCTATCTTCATATAATATAAATTTCTGTAAATATTTAATAATTTTTTTTATTTATAAATATTATTTATTATTATGTTGCAATTTATTGTGTCAATTGTGTGCAGTAAAAATATATTTGTTTAATATTTATGTTGTTGTATTTTTTTTATTTTTTACTGATTTTATTTCATAATTTATTTTTTAATTTTCATATAAAATATTAATACATGGTATTTTGATGAATAAATTCATTTTTTTTTATTTTGTATCCTTAGAATGACATCCTCGTAAATCTGTAAAATAAATTAGGTCTAGAGAGAGCTTAGCTCCCTCAATACTGCTGTAACCCATCTAAAAGTAACAAAAATTACATTTAAATTTGTATAGAAATTTTTTAGTAGTGGATAAATTAAGTTAGATTCTCTAAACATTTTGTTAAATTGTCCTTATATTATTTAGATAAATAATTAATGTTGTATAAATATTTTCCATATATGTAGATTTCTCATTAACTATGGAAATTAAAGTAGGATAAAAATTTATTTCATAGTTATATCAGTCATCATAATATAACCATTTATTATTTTATTTGTCATAATTTTAATAATTATGTCCGTTTTTTATAGATATAAAAAACAAATTATTAAATTTAATAGACTTCTTTTACATTTTCAAATAATTCTTTTTTTTATTTTCTATTTTGTTGCTTTTGCAACTAATAACTTTCTAAATATAGAATAATGGTGAAATTCATCCGCCACTTCCATGATTTTACATTAAGGAAGGTTTAGATCCTTTGGACACCTACATTAATACGCGATCGAAAAGAATAATAAAACGTCTTTAAGAGCCTTGCTTAAGGTACAATCGGACTCTTTAGGTAAAAATCTCTGGGTTTTTGCTTTAATCCAGCGCTGATAAAATTTTTTTTTATAATTTTATTTTGCAATGGATTTGTTTTTTTGTCTTTTAATATAAAAATGTTACATACAAAATTTCATTTTAAAAAAAGTTCCTTCGGGTTTTACTAATACTTGTGCATATGTCCCAAGCGGCACTATTATAAAGTTGAAAACTTTTTTTTTTGCTGAGCAAGTTCAATAATTGGAGTTGCCAACCCTTTCTCCAGCGACGAACTAACTTTCCGTTCCGGAGTATAAATAGCAGGGTTGTTATAAAAAAAGTTAATTAAAAAAAAACTATATAAAAATAAGTAAACAGTTTATAATGTACCAATAGACCAATGTAAATTTAAAAATTCCTGGTGTTTTAAAGACGCAGTATCTAAAACGTAATAACCCTAATAGGCTATAAAAAGCGATAGACAATTGTCTATGCACACTGGCCATATACAATCATACCCAAATATACTTGTGTATAAATGGTATTTACCTTCAATGCGTTGACATTAGATAAATCCAAAGAAAATAATTGTGTAATTGGGGGGTTCTGTATTTTGGCTAAGATTTTTCAAATCGATCAATTCAGTATATTCGTAGCCACAAAATTAAGTGGAGGATTTTTTAATTTTCTAGTAGTTTTGATTGGAGAAATATAAAATTGATACTTAGGCTCCATTTTTTAATGTTTGATTATATAATACATTATATATATATTATCAAAATGTATAAATGCATACTTAAAAAAGAAATTATAGATGCAGCTTTTACATTAAAAGACCTCTTTAAGTTTAATCATACCGAACTTCAAGTACCTAGAGCAGAGATCAATGAAAATGCTATTAACCACGAAGAAATTAAAAAAAAAACGACTTATGGCAGCAGATAGACGCTACTAAGTTTAATGCCACTTTTCAAATTAAGATTACTATCAATACCTCATACAAAGTCTTAATAAAACAAACTATGTGCATTAGGGTACTTTTATTTTATAAACTTTCATTGATCGATCCCGCCAATTTTTTTCATTATTATATGAGTTATTTGGGTAAAATTTGGTTTTGATAACTTACCGCCTTCAGGTGCCGAATCGAGGTTGAAAATTCGCTCAAATGTGTAATTTTTCAGTTTTTAATCATTATTTCAAAACTAACACTTCTAGCGTAAGAATGCATAGAATGTAAATTAGAGATTTTAATATTTTCTTTAAAAAAGATTTTTACAACAATTTTCTAAAATTATTCTTACTTACCCAAATAAATAAAAAAATTTGCTAAAATTCACCTTTTCAACATAAATTATTTTTAACTTTCAAAATAATCACTTTACAACAAAATGTTTGTAGTAATACAAAAATAAGCAAAGGGTGTTAGGGTATTTTGACCAAAGTTGGATATTTTGGGATTTGGTCAATTCAGGAGCATCGAGGTTCTATCGGGGTTGTAGAGTCCAAGGGTTTAGAATAATAAAGACAAGTAGATATAAAAGAAATGATTAAAGTTCCTCTTTATTGAGGAATAAAAAAAACTAATTAATTGATAAGCACCTATATATAGTTAGAGACACATTAGGTTTTCATACTCATTTCAGGCACGGGGCGGTAATTCGACCCTCGAGACCCTGTAATGTGTATATGTATAAAGTGCGAATGAATTAGTAAAATTACTAAAGAGAATATTGATCTATTGCTTTACCATTCTTTTCTCAGATTATTAATTCTAAATAATTGGGATAATATAAATTTACTTACCTTTTTAGATATCTTCCGTTAAGATTTATACTGTTCCTTTTAAATAAATAAATAAAGTATTGACGCAAAATAATTGTATTCTCGATATCGTTTTAAAATGTGTACCGACGACAACACGGGGTCGCGGCTAATTTGATCAAAATAAATCAGATAGAAGAATTCTGAATTCTTTATTGAATTCAGATCTTCAAATAAGAGAGAGAGAGTCGCTTGCTAGCACGCTCGCTCACTGATGTGCAAGCAGAACTAAGCCTTTTTATATTATTTTTAATTGCCCTTATCTTGGGATATTGTCGTCAGCGCTTTTAGTGATTTTCAGTTTATTGTATAAAATTTGAACATAACATGATAATTATTTTTAAGATAAGATGTATAGTATACAATAATCAATTTAACACATATATAATAGCTAGTGTACAACAGTGTATATGTTATGACAGATAAATTGATGATTTGTTTGTATACTAGTAATATAAAATACAGATTATACATTTTTCATTGATAAATGTAAGATGCGCAATGCAAAGCATTAATCATATTACATGTTTCGTATAAAAAATATGTAAAATTAAATTTTCTAAAATATTAGTCAATAAAATATTACACTAACGATCTAAATGCGATTGATTAAAACTGTTTATTCAGCGTATTACGATTATAATTAAGGTACTTCCTTCAATAGTTTAGTACGGCCTGCAAAAAAAAAAAACCCAGCACAGGGGAGTCGCGGCACAGTGGTGACGTGCATTAGTTGGATTNATTGATCCATACACTTTTCAATAAGTTATAGCATTATAAAGTTAAAAATGTAAAATACAAAATCGAAAATTTTCACACAAAAAAAGCATTTGGTAGCCATTTTCACCGTGAAGATAAAATAAAGTCCGAAATTTTTTTTTTGCATAATAAAGAATATTACATTAGCTTTAATTTAAGATATATATAAAAGTGTCAGACCTTCCGGAACATTTTCAAAAGTTAAGTTGAAAAAGTTAATTTTTTTTTAAAAAGTTGTCATTTTAAATCCCCCCTTGTGAGCAGTATAAGGGTTAAATTTATGAAAAAAATATACCAAATGAAAGGTAATGATATTATGCATCTATATAAAAAAGAATTATATTGATATGTTCATTTTTGAAAAAGTTATGGCACTTTTAAGTAAAAAAAATTGAAAAAATTT